CCCCCCATGGGGCCAGGGGGTAAAATCGCCAGCTTCTGGGAGTGTTTGGAGGCTTCCCAAGCTTCCAAACACTCCCAGAATGTGGTGATTTCGCCGGTGCTGGCCCCCTGCGGGGGTGGGAGGAGCATCGCAAGGGTATGAGTGAGCTTTCCAGGACCCTTGTGATGCTCCCCCAATCTTTTCGTTGGCGCTGTCCCCGTGGGGGGTGGGGGAGCCTTGCAAGGGTCCTGGAAGGCTCACCCGGACCCTTGCGACGCTCCCCCCCAACGGGGCTGGCAGCGACAAAATTGCTGTCTTCGCTCCATAAGACGTATGGACTCCCCCCCCCACATTTTGGGGGGAAAAGTGCATTTTATGGAGCAAAAAATATGGTATATTATTCAGGGGGGACTTCAATTATTCTGATATCAATTTCTGAAGACAATTTCTACCAAATATGGCCCCTTCAAGAAATTCCCAGTTTTTGTGGCTGATAATTTTCTCCTACAAAAGTAGTAGAAGAAACTAGCAATCCTTGACTTAATTCTAGCCGGTAGGGATTACTTGGTGGGAAAAGTGTCAGCAAGAGAAACTCTGGGGAAAAGTGACCATGTTGCACATGAGTTCTTGATGTCAATGGAAACCAGCTAGAGTGTGGCCACACATATATGCTGGATTTCAGGAAAGCCGATTTTAATAAACTCAGAACAGTAATAGGTAAGGCAGGAGATTCTAACAGGACAAGGAGTCTAAGATGGGTGGGAGTTTCACAAAAAAAGGAAATTTTAGAGACACAAGCAGAAACAATTCCCACAAGAGAAAAAGATGGAATCTGCTGGTTATAGTTAAAATAGCAGTTGAAAGTTCAGGAAATTACTGAATTTTTACTGAAATTTATGAGGAATGCAAGGTCTGAACCACAAGAGAGTAAAGTTCTAAGGAAAAGAGATTATTCAGCACAATCAAGAATTAGATTCTTATCTGGTGAGATTGTCAAAAGCAGAAGCAGAAACAGAAGTAGCAGAAATGGCTCAAAAAGCTTATTAGAAAAAGCCAAATCAGAAATGAAGTTAATGTTGGAAGCGATGGCAAAGGTAAATGAAAATCTCTCACAAATAAATCAAACAAACTTGAATTGGGATCAAAAATCTTAAATATGGATTTAAAAAATACAAAATGTGGGAAACGATGTTAAGACCAACCAAGAGGATTATAAAAAACTCAATAAAATAATTGATTCTTACTTTAAACCATTTAAAGACTTGGCTCTTTAGGCAGGCCTTCCCTCCTGACAATTCTTGAAATCTATCTTTTTGTTTTCTATTATTCCCATCTTGAATAGTCCATTTTATTGATTCAATTGTTTAATGTTATGATGTCTTTATACTTTTATGATATTTTATGATATTTGTAAGCCGCCCCGAGTAGATGCTGTCTAGGGGGCGCGGTAAAAGTCTAATGAATAAATAAATAAATAATAAATAAACTGACCAACATATTGAGGAGCAAGAAAAATGAAATTCTGCTAGACTAATGAACAGTGAAATGGCTACCATAGATCTACAGGAGCAGATGATCCTAACACAGGATTACAATCAACCTAATAACATTAGATTAAAGGGAATTCCAGATTTGGGCTCCAAAGAGAAAGACTTAACAGAACTAGCATTGGCCTAGCTGAAAAAGACGGCACCAAAATTGAATTGGATTGTTTATGATTTGGATAAAATACACAGAGTCGGTACAAGATGTCAACCTCTCCATATTCTGATTAGACTTTGAAGCCTCAGGAAAAAAGAGGATCTGATGAAAATTTTAAGAGAGAAGCCAAGGAATTTGGTATTTGAAAATCATCCTATGCAAGTATTTAATGACTATTGTCATGGGACTATGGAATTTAGAAGAAAAATGCAGGTTATTACTTCTATTCTTCAAAAAGAAGTGCTAAATATATCTGGGGTTACCAGATATATTTCTAAAGGTGCATCATAATAGAAAATTTCATAAAGTTACATCAGTTCCAATGGCTTTGGATTTCTTAAAAGACTCTGGAATATCAACAAAAGAAGAATGGGAGAAGAGACAAGGGCTAAGTCAGGAGTTGGAGGAAGAGGAAACAATGGAGCGGGACTTGATTGATGATGACAAGGAAGAATAAGAAAAAGAACAAGAACAAGAACAAGAAAAACAAGGAGCGAAACCAAAACAACCAAAGAAAGCTAAAGGATGAGGAAAATCAAGAGAATAAGAGTTAATAGGCTTAATGTAAAATCTTTATTTGATGCAAAAGGAAATTGTCTGGTACTTGTATTATAAAAAGTGATAAAATAATAAGGGGTAAACCCAGAAAAAATGAGAATGGTATAGTATTATCTGAAAAAGACAAAGAGATTTCCAAGGAGCTTCCCAGTGATGGTTAAGTATTTTAAAAAGGGAGGAATAATCGGGAAGAAATTGAGATAAAAGAAATATAAAAAGGGGGAGACCAGGAATAGAAGAATAAATAAGAAAAAAATTAAAATAAAAGGGAGAATTCTTAAAATATATATATTTTTAAAAGTGTATAAATATTGTAGATAATTATATACCGAATATGTTGAAATTTATATTTGAATGTTTATGCATAGATATATGGGGAAAGGGGTAGTTATGGATATATCAGGGTAAAATAGGATTCACGTAATATAACAGAGTGAGGCAGGGAGAGAGTCACGGCGGATAGGGACAGACACATCCCCCCCCCAGGTCTGTAGAAGAGACCGGAAATGTCTGTAACTTTTACTTTACTTTATTTGGACTTATACCCCACCACTCTAGACAAAGTCTACTCGGGGCGGCTTACAGGTGTGATAAAATACAATAAAATATAATATAATACAATCACAAACATAATAATAAAACCTACTAACAGATGCATATATAGATTATCAAAATGAGATAATTGAGAAACAAAGATCAATTAATTGACTGGAGGGAAGGCCTGCCTAAAGAGCCATGTTTTTAAATGGCTTTTAAAAACACCCAGCGAGGGAGCCAGGCGGATTTCCATTGGGAGAGTGTTCCACAACCGAGGGGCGACTGCCGAGAAGGCCCGGTTTCTTGTTCTTTCCTTCCGGACCTCTCGGCGTAAGGCCCCTCAGCCGTCCCTGCTGGTTTTGTTGGGTGAATCGTGTAGACCTGGGTGGGAGAAGACAATCTGCCAGGTATTGAGGTCCCAAACCGTTTAGGGCTTTATACGTCATCATAAAAACTTTGAAATCAATGCGGAAATGAATAGGCAACTGGTGCAAAGCAGCCGGGGTGGAGGAGGTATGCTGATATTTTCTCACCCCACTAAGAAGCCTGGCTGCCGCATTTTGCACCATTTGAAGTTTCTGCATCAATCCCAAAGGCAGCCCCACGTAGAGTGTGTTACAATGGTCTAATCTTGAGATTACGAGCACATGGACAAGAGTAGTGAGGGCCCTCCATCAAGATAGGGTCACAGCTGAGCAATCTGCCATAGGTGAAAATAGGCGGAACGGACCACGGACGCCACCTGGGTTTCCATAGTAAGCACCAGGTCCAGATATATCCCCAAGCTGCAAACCTCGCTCTTTGCAGTGAGGGTTGACCCCCACCAAAAGAATGGGAGTCACCCAAACCGCTGATGGAAAGGCCACCCACCCTCAACCCATTCGACTGCATCCATTCCAGAACAGTCTCTAGGCAGCGCTGTAAGAAGATCGGGGGAGAAAAGTAGTAGTGGGGAATCGGGTGGTAGAAGAATTCAATAGGAATTCAAGGGGTTTTTGTTTTTTAATTGGGGATCACAGTAGTACTCAAACCAGGACTAGTACTAATTTAAAAAATAATTAGAGTGGCCACGATGACCAGATAGGCAGGGTATAAATTAATTAATTAATTGATTGATTGATTGATTAATTTATCGTGATGTATCCCAGTGTTCTAGATGAGCCTCAGTCCCTGATTCTGCCTGTCACCCCATATCCCATGGGACTGCAGGGGTCTAAACGCTACCGTCTCCAGCCAAGGCTGCAGAGTTCCACATTGCTCCTGTTTCCCCTCTTCTGTTGTGACTTCCTTTTATTCCCACTCCTGGCTATTTGTTCACAATATATTTCACCGGGATCTATGCCTTTTAGCAAAAGGCATATCCCCCGAGCAGGGTTCTGGGAATGGAGCGAACCATGCCAGCTCCTGTCGGTGTGAGGCGGACTCGCTCTGACGGCGTCTGAGCTCCCTTGCTAGTCTTCTCTTCTGCGAGTCCCCACCTTCCCTGGCATTTGAAATGCCTCGCCTCTGCTGAAGCTGCTTAACCAAACGAGTCGGTTGCCTGACATTTGCCTCCTGTTTCTGATGGCAGGAGGACAAGCAGATCCTCTGCATTACCATCCTCCTGGGGCTCAACCACAGCGAGAACCCGCTGGTGAAAGTGTTATATTAGCAGGTGATTTTAATATGGTAATGGATTTGAAGAAAGACAAATCAAAGTTGCGAAACAGGGAAGGGAAAATTAAAAGTACAATATTAAATAGATTAATGAATAAAATAGATTTGAAAGATGTATGGAGAGAATTAAAGGGTGAAGGTAGAAGATTCTCATTTCACTCAGAGGTGCATAATACATATTCAAGAATAGATTATATAGAATGAATATGGAATTGATGTTTAAATGTGATTGAACTCAATGGCCCTTAGATGCCCCTTTGAATTTCATGATCCTGTGTTTTGTGCACACAGGGGAGCTCTCTATGCATAATGTAAACAAAATGCCACCCTAAAAGTGTTTCCTTGACCATGTGCAAAGGGCGTACCTGTCCCCAAGGGGAGCTAAAAGTCCTGAAGTTCTCATTCATCAAGTCCATGAGGGCTAGAAACCTCTCGTCATGGTAATCAAAGTGGGTTCCAAAGACGATGGAGCAGATGACGTTGGACGTAGCACAGCCAAGCAGGAAGGTGGGGTCGAAGGGCTTTCCTGGAAGTACAAAAGGACTCATCTATCAATGTCATCAATCATGCCAGCTGGAGACAGAGCTGCTGACCTTGCACCATCCATGTTCTGATGGGAGAGCAGAGGAGAGGCTCCTTGCTTGTGCCCAGGCTCTCCGCATGAGCAATAGCCTCCATAGAAACACAAATCGCTTCTTTGCAGCCCCATCACAGTGAGGACCGTGAAGGGGAGGGTTTTGTGTTTCCCCTTTCAGCAGAACAGCCTGAACAAGGTGTCTGCATCGCCATTTTCTGACTGCTCAGAGTGAGAGCACCTCTGTGTAAGGGCGATGAGGTGGCCGGTAGGGGAAGACTGCCCCAAGCAGTCTCATTGCAAGTGAGTCAGGCAAATCCTGACATCAAAGTCGGAACCCTGTCATTGCCTGGAACCAGTTGCTGCTGGTGAGATCACTATCGGGGTGAGGGGGGGGGGAGATCGCTGGGACACAGCAAGATCCCGCTAGATTCTCAGGGATCACCCAACTCAACCACAATGAGTTGGTGGCCAGGTTTCCTGAAAAGCGGTGTGAACCCTGGGATCAAAGCAGGAGCTCCTTGATCATCTTTTCCCACTTCCAATATTATGGATCTTGCTACCTTTCCTACTTCGACAGGGACTTTGCCTTGATGACTCTTGAAGTCCATTCCAGCTTTCTAGCCGCTTGAGTCCACTCCCAAAATCCTAGTAGTTGTTCCTGCCAGCACAGCCAGTGTTAATCTTGATGGTGAATTGGTACATACTAAGACCTCGGTTTAGGTGTATGGTGTTGTGTTACGAGTTTTGGAATCTACGCTAACCTCTTGTTGTTGATACGTGCTCTCATGCCAGAACCATCCTACAGGGATCCTAATTGGGCTTTCAAGGTAAGGGAGATATTTAAGGAAGCTTTTACTAGTTCTCTTCCTCCACTCAATTTCCGCGGCTGAGTAGAGATTCAAAACTCTGATGTGCAACTCTGTCCACCAAACCAAGTCTGTCACTCCATCCACTACACCATTCTTAAGGTGTGGCAATTCGCTGCTGAGATTTACGCCAGTTGTGTTACACTGGTAGTAAATCTCAATAGCCTTTGGCCTCTGAGTATACAGGCATTTACTTGCTTTCCAGAAACACCAAATCCATGTGATCTTCAACAGGCCCTGGAAATTTAGTCAGGGAGTTAGCTAGTGGCTGCCTTGTAGAGACAACAAAAGTGAAACAAGGAAGGGAGAACAAACAAGCTTGAGCATATTGTCACTCTTATTGAGATTATTTTTGCTGTGGCGCCTTAATTTTTGGAAAGGTGTTTCAAACAAGGATAAAGAAATCATGATGTCCTTTTCAAAGAACTAATTAGTCTTGGCATGGTTGTTTAAACTGCTTATTGTATATAATCTATTAAATCAAATGAGCCTCATCCCTCATTAAAGGTTAATATGAAATATATCTGTACTTCTTAGAAAGCAGAAGTGGACAAAGTTACTTTTTTAACTGCAGCTGTGAAGCCCATGCCCTACTACAGCGTAGCCCAGAGCCGGGAAACAAAACAAGTTCTCGTAGAGAGGGTGTTTAGGAAACAGTTACGTTGAGGAGGGTGATCTATGGATTCCCGGGGTTGATCCAGCTGATCTGGCTGTCTGGCCCTCCCTTCCTCCCTATTCCATGACCTACCTTTGGTGTCCTGGAGCTTTTCCAGCAGATACTGGGCTTCCTCCTGGATCCTCTCCTCGATGCTCTTCTTTCCCATCCCAAAGTTGCGCAGGGTGGTGAGGGCAAAGCGCCGGAGCACCTTCCATCTTTCCCCATTGCTGAAGATAATCCCTGGAGCCAGGGAGAAAGACCACACTAAGCATGCAGATCCCATTTCCTATATTATCTGCCAACATGGTCACTCCTTTTAACTTGTAAGGCAATATTTCCCCAAAACTGGCTTTACGGAGAACCTGCCTTCCTACTGTGCCAGAATTCTCTAGAATGATCAAAGACAAGACCACGTTAATTATGCAAGCATCTCGAAGGAGGGAGGAGGAGCCACAAGCAGCGAGAACAGGGAAATTCTAGGGCTCTGGATACCCCTGGGTCTACTCTGAGTCAGACAACCCCCCTGGAGAAGGAGGGGGCAAGTTCCACAGGAGAGTGGACTTGTCAGCAAGTGGGAGCTTTGGAACCGCCGAATTTCAGATGGCAGACTGGTTTTTGGGAGAGTTCCCTTCCTGCACGCAGTCTGTCTCGTGAAGTCGCCATGATTGGTAAATTAGCTGCTCGGCAAAGAGTAGGCTTTGAAATTTATTATCTGACTACAGAACAGAAATCAATCTAATCTGCTGATAAGCTACAGCAAGTAAAGATCAAATCTGCTATGTGAAAGCTGTTTGGAAGGAGACCTCAAGCGGCATAACCTCTTTGATGCCTTAACATTGGAGTTTTTTTACTATGCCATAGTACGAAAACGAAACCAAATTACTTTCTTCCCTTTTTAACCCTCCTCCCAGAGAACTGGCCTCACATAAATTTGTAAAGTCAGGACTTAAGAACTTTAAATAACTCTGCAATGACTCTGTATCTAGCTACAACATCTATGAAGTCCCCCCTCACAAGACTTTAAGAGCGGACTTGCTAATAAATCATATGGAGATTTTGAGTAATTAATCTGCTGACTGGGGGCGAGTTATCGTCACAACTGACAATGCATTATATCAAGGAACTTCTTCAAGAATGTCAAAGCCACATAATCGGACATTTGGGAATGCAACTTGAGGAGTTCAGAATGGATCTGAAAGAAATCTTTTCTGCTCTGCACGAAAAAATCGAAAGCAAGGGGGAATTCCAGATAATTAATGGACAGTCTTCAATCTTGGAGAAACAGCAATTGGTATGATGTGAAGATAACCCAGAGGCAGAGAGAAAGAAGAAAAAGACTCCTTTTCTTCAAAGGATGACTAAAAAAGACAAAAGGGGGGGCGGGAAAGGTATCTTAAGCTTGTGTCGAAAAGAAAGAAGGTAAGGGAGGGATGGGCAAAGCTCAGGGCAAGAATTTACGATCAGAGGCCACATGCTATCTCGCTCCAAAATCTAAACACTGACTATATTGGGATCAAATTAATTAAGCATATAGAAATTGCTCTAAAGAAATATTACAGATGGCATTTCAAAACTGGAAAATACTTTGCTGGTGAGACATGTATATTGAGATATTAAATATATGTGATCATGAGGCCAATTCTGGTTGGACGACACTGGAGCTGATAAATAGAAACCAGAAAGGGGGAAGTTACTTGCTGAATAAATAATGGAAGTCAATTGTTTGAAGATAGATATAATTAATATATAAAGCAATATGATCAATATACTATAAGTAAATTTGGCCAAACATGAAACCTAAGGTTAGATAAGTGTATGTGATTTATAAATTTTAGAAATGATGATGAATAATAATATTGGATGTATTGTTTTAAGGTGTGTATATGGATATATCAAACATACAAGAACTACAAGAATGATTATGCTGAAAATATTAGATACATAGTTTACTGTATATAAGAATAGAGATTAGCAAGGAATGAATAGGCCTGTGTGGATTTTATGCTGGATAAGAAATTTGAAAGAGGAAATGAGGAATGTATATGATAAGAGACAGATGGATGGAAATGCAGATGAGAGAATTCAAAACATTTATTACAAATTTAGGATGTTAGATAATTACTGTATATATATGTAATAGCAATGTGGAATATAACATGTGCACACGGATATATTATTTCTGTAGTCAGAATTTATATAATAGATAAGCTGGTATGAGATACACCTCCCCGCCCATATGTTTGTCTTGTCACTTGTGTATGTTTGTTAGTTTCATGTGTTATTGTTTTGTAGGTATTTCTGTTGTTGTGTGTTGTAGGTATGTATGTTACAAAAAATAATAAAATGTTATTATAAAAAAAATCATGTAAGCATCTCTAGACCGAACAACAACAAAAACAAGACAGAGAGGCACCTTACAGACTTACTTATAGTTCAGTGTGAGTTTTTCTGTATACATCCAGAAAGTCATTAAAAAGGGGATTGGAAATAAAACAGCCAACGTTATAATGCCCTTGTACAAAATGCTGATAAGGCCGCACCTGGAGTATTGCATACATTTCTGGTTGCCACACCTCAAAAAAGACATGGTGGAACTGGAAAAGGTGCAGAAGGGAGCCACTGAAATGATAGCGGGGCTGGGGCACCTCCCTTATGAGGACAGGTAGAGTGTGCAGGTAAAGGTGACAGCGTTTGGGGCTCAGGTCTAGAGAAAAGGCCCCTTGGGGGGGGCTATGATGGAGATATATAAAATTATGCAGGGGAGTGGATAAAGTAGATAGAGGGAAGCTCATTTCCCTCTCATGCCATACCAGAACCTGGTAACGTCTTTCTTGACCCAACTTTCTTGTTGTTAGTCTGTGGAACTCCTTCCCACACGATGTGGTGATGACATCTGGCATAGATGCCTTTTTCAAAGGGGACTGGACAGATTCCTGGAGGAAAAGTCCTTTGCAGGCGACAAGCCATGATGGATAACCTCCAGATTTAGAAGGAAGGTGCTTTGGAATGCCAGAGGCGAGGGAAGGGGGATCAGGAGACAGGGAATCTCGTGGTCTCTTGTGGGCTCTCAGAGGCATCGGGTGAGGCCACCGGGGAGATGCAGGTAGCTGGACGAGAGGGGCCCTTGGCCTGATCCAGCAGGGCTGTTCTGACGTTCTTATGTTCTTATCTCTCTTACTTCGTCTCTCGGAATTAAATGATCAAGGGTTCTGTCATTCCCCAGATCCATTCCAAATCTCAATTAGACGTCTGTTTTATTTATTAAATTTATGTTCCACCTTGAGGGACGCTCAAGGTCTCAGAGGCACAAAAGATCGATACTTTGATGAGATAAAAGACATTGGTTTTGCCTGATGCAGCTTTTTCGTGAGCTAAGCAGTGGAATAAGTTCCAACTTCAGTAGTTCTTTATGTTACAATCTGGGTTCTGCCACCTGATCATTAGTTTGCTTGCACAATTTGACTGTCTTATTCAAATGTTATCAGTCTTAGACTGAATGATTTTAAGAAAAAAAGAGTGGACATTATTTTAGTCAATGGGAGAAACATGTGAATGTACCTGCAATTTTGGGGACATGTGCAAAAAGTGTGCATGAATTCCAGTGTGAGATCAAGACCAGCACCTCACAGCACAATGGGAAACAAGGGCAGGGAGAAAATGGATGAGGAATTTGGAGAAATGCAACCAAATTGGGACTGACAGCCTTCGCCCCCCCCCGGCTGTGACTGCTAAAAGACCTCCTTGACCAGCCCTGCATGTGAGCTGATTTCCCCCACCCCTATTTTTCTTTTTTTAATCTCATTGCCTTTTCCCTCCTCCTGGGTGGAGGATATGCTCCCACTTCCCATGAGGACTAGCATCCAGCAAAACTTACCTTTCCCTTTGTGAACTTTGTCAAGCAACGGTAGGGGTCCCCTGGGTGCAAACTCGTCTGCGCGATCAATCAGTGCTTCTTTTATGACGTCGTAGCCATGGAGAACTACGACAGGGTCCCCTCCGAAATGCACGGTGAACACGGGGCCGTACTTCTCACTGAGCTGGAGAAAGACCAGGGAAAGACCAGTTGTGCTTGCAGTGAGTTAAAAAACAAAACAGCCCCAGTGTAGAGGATGTGAAGGTGATCCATTCTTTTCCATTCAGGAGAGGAAGTGGAGGAAAGAGAAGAATCTCTTGGATAAAGAATTTGGGGAATGGGTTTGGAGGCAGCACAACGTTGCCATCAATTGGTGGAGTGTCTAAAGCTAGAAGAGATACAGGGATTCTGCCGGTCCATCTGTCTGTCTGTCTATCCTTCCCTCTCTCTATGGAATGCCTTGGTCACACACCCACTTTCAGCAAAGGGCAGTGAATCAGTTGGATTGGTGAGCCCTCTGCTATGATGTTCCTGAAGTGACCTGTCATCCAGCAATCCTCAGAAGCAACGCAATTTAGGGGGACTCAAAGATGCACCAAGGCTTTGTATCTGTTTCTCTTTTGTTTTTGCTGAACGAGGCTAACACAGCGACCTCTCGGTGAACATTTTCTCCTGAGTCACACAATATGTCTGCATTTTTCATGCAGGGCTGTCTGGGCAATAACCAGATGTGGAAGATGTGTTAAAGGCACTGTTCTAGAATCATTTTGCATTCTTTGGCTCTTCCTTCAAACCCAACATTTCTGTGCCCCCCTCCCTCCCTGCCTTTTCTCCCTTATCCTTCCCTGCTCCTTCGGGCAGGGACGCTACACTCTCTTGCTGTCCTGGTCAATGCTGTTCCTTCTGCAGCTCACCTGTTGGAGAGCCTTACTGAGGAAGGTGGCCTTCAGCTGCAAGATGTTCCCCACAAGGGGCAAAGGCGTTGGGCCCGGCGGCCGCCTTCCCTTGCCCTGCGTCCTGCTCCTCATGGCAGCCAAGAGGAGAAGGCAAGAGAGACAAATTCCCAGGAAAAGGGTGACCGTCCCCAGAGGCTCCATGGTGGCTGGCAGTGGGAGCAGCAGGATCTCCAGAGGCCAGGAGGGGAACCTTATTTATGCTCCACAGCCTGGACTTTGCACATCTGACGCTCTGTGGCACCATCAAGTTAATCATTAGTGATTCCTGGTTTAATTGCCAAATCATGGTGAGCAAGTCGGTACTCTGACTTGTTTGTTATCAGTTGGAAACATGAACATGAGTCAAAGTCTTTTATTTAATATTGATTTATTTTGCAAGAAGGCTGAGTTCCCCCAATGGATTGTGCTGGGGTTTTCTGACATTACTTGACAGCCCAACAACTGTATCAGGGACAGCTCATGGATACCATGAACACGTCTTGATGGATACCTGGCCTAGACATGTGGCAGAGCATCCTCATAATCTGTTGTTGTTTTTAATTGGGTGGGGTCAAGGGGGAAAAGGGGGTGTTCCCTCAAACTCCCAACCTCTGGCTCTGCAGCCAGATCCTTAAACCACTGAGCTCTCCAGCCAGTGCTGCAGTGCTAATCATCTCCACAGACCACCATCTGACATCAAGTGGCTGGACAAGTGGTTGGACTGTCTCTCTGGATTCTTTGTTGGAAGTGCTGATGATTCACCTGGGGCAAGAGAAACACCCTTTGGTGGGAAATGAGCAGGTCCGTCTTCCTGTCCTGCTTCCCAGCCGAACAAAGACCACCTCAGGGCAGTGCATCAACTGTATATACTAAACCCACAAAACCTCTGATAGCAGGATCTCCAGAGGCCAGGAGGGGAACCTTATTTGTGCTCCACAGCTTAAACTTTGCACATCTGATGGTCTGGGGCATGATCAAGTTAATCAGCAGGAATTCCAGGTTTAATTGCCAAATCATGGTGAGCCAGTCGATTCTCCAACTTGTTTGTTATCAGCTGGAAATGAACTTCTCTGAACTTAAAATATTATTTTATTAGGCAGGAAGGCGGCTGTCTTCTTGTGACTTTTGCCAAAGGGGCAGCCGGGTTCCTCTGTGGCAGCAAAACCAAGAGAGATTCTTGCTGAGATGTTTGAAAAGGGAAAGATCAACCTGCGTAGGGTAGCTTGGCCTTCCCTGGACAAAAGTCCATGTCATCCGCCATGCAAAGCATTGTTCAGAATTTGGGGGATGTCCTCAGGGTCCCTGGATGGTGACAGGAAAGCAGGCCCTGAGCAAGAAAAGAAGGGAAAGAGAAGGAAAGCCTTCCAGCAGAGGGACCAGGGCTTTCTTGCCCCTGCCCAGTCACAAAACCCCAGCTTCTTCTTTTTTTTAATGCCAGAAAGAGCTGTGTGGTCCAGAATTTGACCCCAGGTGAAGAGGCGGTGACTGGGGTAACTGATGCTTGCTTGTGTCTCAGTTTTATATCCAGCTGGGCCCACTACGGGCCCGGCAGCCACAGCTGGCATGATCTCATGGTCATCTTGACCCATCATACATCCTGTCCCCTGCCCAGCACTCTCCAAAGTGCAAGCGTGCCTGCCCCGTGACCGGGGGACGAGACGGCCCCGTGGCGCTCTGGGTGCACCACCACCCTCTGCCGCCCAAGGATCTCCTCAACTTGAGCTTGCACAGTGGCCAGAGTTGGTGCTGAGTTCCCCCAATGGATTGTGCTGGGGGGTTTGGATGTTGGTTGTCTGCCCAAAAGCCGTATCAGGGGCAGCTCATGGATACTGTGAACATGTCTTGATGGACACCCGGCCTAGAGATGTGGCAGAGCATCCTCATAATCTGTTGTTGTTTTTAACTGGGTGGGGTCAAGGGGAACAAGGGGGTGTCTCCTCCCCTCAAACTCCCAACCTCTGACTCTGCAGCCAGATCCCTAAACCACTGAGCTCTCCAGCCAGCTAATCATCTCCACAGACCATCATCTGACATCAATTGGAAGTGCTGATGACTCCCCTGGGGCAAGAGAAACGCCCCTTGGTGTGGAATGAGCAGGTCCGTCTTCCTGTCCTGCTTCCCAGCCGACCAAAGATGAGCTGAGGGTAATGCAACAACTATATATACTAAACCCACAAAGCCTACGTTATATAATGAACTATAAAACAAAGCCTAGCAAGGCAACTTCAAATCCTCTGTGCAGTTCACCAAAGTGCAGTGACTCTGGGCCTCCTGCCGATTCTTCCAGGTACCTAAGCCAACTCTATTTATCAGTTTTGAGAAAGGGAGGATCCTGGCTGATTAATGGACAAGTAAAGATAAATCAAGTTCAGGGTCAGTCCCTTGTGAGTATCTTTGTTCCTGTTTAAGTGCACAGCGTAAAGGGTCAGGGGTCTGAACAGAAATGGGCAGTTAGAAAGGAGGAGCTGCATGCAGGGTGGAAATAAAAGGTGCAAGGCCACCTTGGGGACTACACGGGCCAACCGAGTGGATGGGTGGGGATCCTTAGGAAGAGGATCTCCTTGTGAAGGTCCCCTTGAGAGAGGGGGGGACTGGAGAGGGAAGGAGGCTGTCCCGGTAGTAGGAAGGAAGTGCGCATCGTCCCCTGGTTTCAGCAATGGCACTTCAGGGTACGCATGCAGGAGGGGCAGGGAAAGGGAGCAACGGCTCTCTGCCTGGTTTGGGACAAGGGCTCTTCCACAATAAAAGAATTCTGTACTGCAAGCTGTTAGGTTCTTTCATGCAGCCAAAACCATTATTTCTTTTTATTTTACATATTTGGCAGAGTTCTTTATATATACAGCATACATGGATCAATGCTTGCTTTTACACAAGTTCCAACTAGAAAATAAGTGAATGGCAACACTGTCCGCGTTTCTAGCGGAAATAACGGTTTTTGCAGAATAAATTGCAGTCCAGGCAGTCCAGAAATAACTCACACGCAGTCCAGCAGCATTTCCTTCAGCAATGTGTATTTACATCAGTATCTACAGCAGTTTGGCAGCATAACGTGTAGCAGTGATCTTCAAGCAGGAAGATACAACTAACTGTACAATTCACACATATATACATATAGAACCAATCAGTTTACACATTACCTCACCCCTGGGTTGCATCAGCCATGGGTTGCATCAGCACTGCTGAGTCATCCTGACTCAGTTTTATCACATCTGTTCAATATGGATTCTCATTAATCCACTCTACTTCTGCTCAGGCCTTTAATTTTCCTTGACAAACACCACATTTAATGAGGAAGTTGGAGGGTATCCAGCTAGATGTTGAGCTGGATAAACACATTGGCAAAGCAGCTCCCATATTCTCTAGACTCACAAAGAGAGTATGGCTCAATAAGAAGCTGACGGCCTAGATCAAGATCCAGGTCTATAGAGCCCATGTCCTGAGCACACTCCTGTCCTGCAGCAAGTCCTGGACCCTTTGTGCATGGCAGGAGAGGAAGCTGAACACCTTCCATACGCGTTGCCTCAGACGCATTTTTGGAATCACCTGGCAGGACAAAGTTCCCAAGAGAAGAGTCCTAGAACGAGCTGGAATTTTTAGCTCATGACCTATCCAGAATTGGTCTAGGTGATTGGCCTCCCCCTATTATCTCACCAGACCAATTTGCAGCATTTTAAAAATCGAAAGTGGAGGCCAACCGCCGGGAACTCTCTCCTTTTTTGGATACAGTGGGTCGAGCAGAGATGTCCAGCACTCCGCCTTTCCCAGTGAGATTTGATCATTTTCAGCCAGTGACACCAGAGATTGTGCACAAGGTACTTGACCGCTGTCATGCCACTACATCCTCCCTTGACCCTTGCCCAGCCTGGCTAATCAAAGCAGCCAAGCCTATAACAACAGAATGGGCCACAGCAATAATCAATGGGTCTTTCCTTGAGGGCAGGGTTCCCCTTGCCCTCAAGGAGACACTCATTAGGCCCATTAGGAAGAAACTAAATTTGGCGGCGGATGATATTGGCAATTACAGGCCTGTCGCCAATGTTTCTTTCATTAGCAAAGTGGTGGGAGAGGGTGGTTAATTGGGATGGTTAAACTCTCTCTAATAGAGAAGGTTAATATTGATGACTGATGAATCTTGAAGAATGTGCTTATGAATTATTCCAGAAACGACCTGTAATTAATAAACCTGTTTTGTTGAAAAGTCAGTACTGGGTGGACCTTCGTGTTTTCTAAGTAAACTAAGTTGATAAAAGAGATCAACTGGTGGCAGCGTATCAGAGGGCGTGCTGAGGTAACTTGTGAGCTTTATGTTTGGGTAAACAACCAAGGGTCACCAGGGCAAAGTGATCATGATTTGAGAGACATTGGAATGTGATTTTCTAAGTGCTGTGAGAGTGATTTTCTGAAGACCAGTACAGCATGGTTTGAGATAAAGCTGAAGGTCGGACAAAGAGACTTGTGAAAGACTTAGCATTCCGAGCTAATTGGAGAAGAGATAAGACACCTGGATTTTCATGGGAATTGAGGGCGGAGGAAGCTGTTACTGCCCCTTGCTAATTGGTTAACAGACACGAAGTGTCAAGAAGAAGGGAGGAGGTAGAGGAGGTAGAAAATGGACGATGGGTTATGTGGGAGAAGTTTGATTCCATGATGATGGGAGAGACAAAGAACGTGATGGTTTGAGCATGTGGCTTGAAGGAGAGAGAATGTAAGTAAAGAGAAAGAAGGAAGTGGGGCTAGCTCACCTTAGCCCAGCTTAGTAGTGTTTTTTATTTTAATGGTAATTAGATATTTTATTTTACTGTAATAATCTTTAAATATGTTCTATATGCAAAAGTTCGAGCAATATAAACTGATCCTATGAAACTCTATTTCTCTAATAAGAAATAATTATAAACATTCTTACAAAGGACTGGCCTCTTGAACAGCAGAGTCTGACTAAATCCAGGAGGTGGAGAGGGCCACAAACTTGCTATTTTTAAGAGTCCTACCTAACTGAGCTGTTGTACATTCTAAGGAATCACAAAGCCCATGTGTTTGTACTTGCAAAGGACTGGGTAAAAGTAAAGTGTTCTTTTAAGCTCAGACTTGTTGAAGGGGCTTACATTATGCACTGTTAGGTCTTGGGACTTGCCTCAGCACAAAAGGGGGTAGGTAAGTGGCCTGTCAAACTCTCTGACCGAGTGCTAGGCGCTCCTTA